GGGGGGGTCAAGCACCCATGTGAAAGCGGGGAAGTCGGCGCCTATGCCTATATATCCTCAGTGTCTGCCACTAGGAGGCATAGGGAACATGCGCGGGCTGAATGGGCACTTCTAGCTAGAAATCTCCAATCAAGGGCTTGAGAGGTGCACATGGCCCTGATGTGGAGCACAAATAGGGACACATCTCGCAGAACTACAGTTACGGCGCAGGGTGAGTAATGTTTCCTTAGCTAACAGTCTAATATTGGTTCATAAACTGTTAGTACAATGATTACCATGTAGACTGTTCAGCGTACTCCCTTATCAACAGTGGCCAATTGAAAGTTGGCTAGGAAATCTAGTTTGTCACTAGTCCATTTTTATCCGGGGAGGGATAGCTCAGTGGTTTGAGCATTGGACTGCTAAACCAAGGGCTATGAGTTCCATCCTTGAGGGGGCCATTTAGGGATCTGGGGCAAAAATTGGGGATTGGTCCTGCTTTAAGCAGGGGGTTGGACTAGATGAGGTCCCTTCCAACCCTGATATTCTATGACCTATCCTCCTTAATACAATTAAACATAGAGGTAGGAAACCTAGAGCTGTTGGGTCCCTAATTTAAAATTACCACAATATTTTCCATTTAATCACCAGGATGTGAGATAAGCATCTATATTTTTAAATGTAAAGTACAGTGTAATAAAGGGGTTGTATTCCTTTCATCTAATTTATGCCAAAGTGTACATCTCCCTTTTTTTTTTTTAAAGAATAGTTATGTTTTAAAGATTTCAACTAAAATCCATCAGATAGTTGTTACATTCAATGAGTGAACATGCAGGAAAGTAATACTGCTCAGCATTTGAATGCATCACAAATTCATGCAAAGGAACTTTTAAAATCATGAATATCTATTTACAGCAAAAAACCAAACCAAAGCGGCATGAACAGACACTACTTATTGGTTTCATTTTAGATTTTTTCTAGTTTCAAAAGGGTTGGTTTTGGGGTTTTGGGTTTTTTTTAATTTTTTTAAGTAGCATCAGGGTTGCCCGGTCTCCCAATACTGGATGTTTTCCTCAAAGCCCCAGTGCCTGGAGTCACATGAAGATCCCAGCTTTCATTGAAAAACAAAGTTTCTAGTCCTCATGGTTGTGGAGGAAAAATGGAAAATGTGAATCCCAATGGCTCAAAAACCAGAATGCAAACAAAAAGAATCCAAAACTTATTTTAAAATGTCATGCTTTTTAAATGCTTGGGGTTGGTAATGGGGAGGGGTTGGGGAAACACTGATGGAAGGAAGGGCCTATACATAATTTGGGATAGTAGTCAGGAAACTAAAGTTGCAGTGATGAGCTATCATAACTGAGGATAGCGTCACAAATATTTAAAGTGTGAGTATACATATTGGAATGCAAATCTGCAGAATTTCAACAAATGTGTATTTTCCAGCATGTTTTTAGTGTTCACTATCTCTACTTCTGAATTGTGGTGTCTTTTAATAGATGTCACTCATCAGGCATTCCAGGCTGCAGATTTAGTTTGAGACATGCAAATGCAGCATTTGAATACCAGAAGTCTCTCCTATTAAGGTATTTACTTGTCAATCCAAGAAAAAAAATCCTAAAACACCCAAGATGTGTCTCAATAGATTTAAAAGTCTGGTCTCCATTAACATTACATTTACAAATAGTACATTTAACAAACAGTACATTTAAAATTATCTGGATGAAGAGATTAATTGCACCCTCAGCAAGTTCGCAGGCGACACTAAGCTGGGGGGAGAGATAGAAACGATGGAGGGTAGGGATAGGGTCCAGAGGGACCTAGACAAATTGGAGGATTGGCCCAAAAGAAATCTGATGAGGTTCAACAAGGACAAGTGCAGAGTTCTGCACTTAGGATGAAAGAATCCCATGCACGACTACAGACTAGGGACCGAATGGCTAGGCAGCAGTTCTGCAGAAAAGGACCTAGGGACGAGAAGCTGGATATGAGTCAACAGTGTGCCCTTGTTGCCAAGAAGGCTAACAGCATTTTGGGCTGTATAAGTAGGGGCATTGCCAGCAGATTGAGGGACATAATCGTTACCCTCTATTCGACGTTGGTGAGGCCTCAACTGGAGTACTGTGTCCAGTTCTGGGCCCCACACTACAAGAAGGATGTGGAAAAATTGGAAAGAGTCCAGCGGAGGGCAACAAAAATGATTAGGGGACTGGAACACATGACTTATGAGGAGAGGCTGAGTGAACTGGGATTGTTTAGTCTGCAGAAGAGAAGAATGAGGGGGGATTTGATAACTGCTTTTAACTACCTGAAAGGGGGTTCCAAAGGGGATGGATCTAGACAGTAGACAGACTTCTAGACATACTTCTAACAATCTCTGCTGATGTGCTGATAACCTGCTACAATACATGCCATTAATTTCTCTAACATGCTTCTAACATCTAATAATAATTTATTAACTCATATGTGGAATCTTGCTACCAAGTATGACGGAAAGTTTTTTCCATGTCGTGAAATACTGACTTGAAACAGCTCTGTTTAAAAAAATTGTCATTATCTTATGAGGAATAGATTTCTCCTTAAGATGTCCATAGAGCTTTCCCAAGAATTTTGGATGTTATATCCCTTTCTCCTGCCCTTTGGATGTGTAGGCTATTTGTAGTGTAAGCTCTTCGGGGCAGAGCCTGTCTCTTCATGTGTGTACATATAGCACATAGCACAGTGGGGCCCTGCTCTCAGTAGATCACCAGGCATTACTGGAATAAACATAACTTGATGAATGCATTTTTCTTTAGTGACAAGTACCTGATAAATGTTGAGTTGATACTTGTAAAGTTTAATATTCTTATCTTGACATTTTGTCATTACAGTAACTTGGGACATTCTTAAATGCAATGAACCTCTTGCACACCATTTTTGCATTTGATGATGTGTTGACAGAAGTGTGTGTATCCGTTGTCTCTGTAGAACAATCTTTCTGTGCTTCCTTAAGTGTTAGCAAGATCAGACCCTATCATTATTTCAAGGAATCCCTGTTGAGGTCACAGGGACAAACCATCCCAATGAGTCGAAAGAATAGTAAATATGGCAGGCGACCAGCTTGGCTTAATGGTGAAATCTTAGCGGATCTTAAACATAAAAAAGAAGCTTACAAGAAGTGGAAGGTTGGACATATGACCAGGGAAGAGTATAAAAATATTGCTCGGGCATGTAGGAATGTTATCAGGAGGGCCAAATCGCACCTGGAGCTGCAGCTAGCCAGAGATGTCAAGAGCAACAAGAAGGGTTTCTTCAGGTATGTTGGCAACAAGAAGAAAGCCAAGGAATGTGTGGGCCCCTTACTGAATGAGGGAGGCAACCTAGTGACAGAGGATGTGGAAAAAGCTAATGTACTCAATGCTTTTTTTGCCTCTGTTTTCACTAACAAGGTCAGCTCCCAGACTGCTACGCTGGGCATCACAAAATGGGGAAGAGATGGACAGCCCTCTGTGGAGATAGAGGTGGTTAGGGACTATTTAGAAAAGCTGGACGTGCACAAGTCCATGGGGCCGGACGAGTTGCATCCGAGAGTGCTGAAGGAACTGGCGGCTGTGATTGCAGAGCCATTGGCCATTATCTTTGAAAACTCGTGGCGAACCGGGGAAGTCCCGGATGACTGGAAAAAGGCTAATGTAGTGCCAATCTTTAAAAAAGGGAAGAAGGAGGATCCTGGGAACTACAGGCCAGTCAGCCTCACTTCAGTCCCTGGAAAAATCATGGAGCAGGTCCTCAAAGAGTCAATCCTGAAGCACTTGCATGAGAGGAAAGTGATCAGGAACAGCCAGCATGGATTCACCAAGGGAAGGTCATGCCTGACTAATCTAATCGCCTTCTATGATGAGATTACTGGTTCTGTGGATGAAGGGAAAGCAGTGGATGTATTGTTTCTTGACTTTAGCAAAGCTTTTGACACGGTCTCCCACAGTATTCTTGTCAACAAGTTAAGGAAGTATGGGCTGGATGAATGCACTACAAGGTGGGTAGAAAGCTGGCTAGATTGTCGGGCTCAACGGGTAGTTATCAATGGCTCCATGTCTAGTTGGCAGCCGGTATCAAGTGGAGTGCCCCAAGGGTCGGTCCTGGGGCCAGTTTTGTTCAATATCTTCATAAATGATCTGGAGGATGGTGTGGATTGCACTCTCAGCAAATTTGCGGATGATACTAAACTGGGAGGAGTGGTAGATACGCTGGAGGGGAGGGATAGGATACAGAAGGACCTAGACAAATTGGAGGATTGGGCCAAAAGAAATCTGATGAGGTTCAATAAGGATAAGTGCAGGGTCCTGCACTTAGGACGGAAGAACCCAATGCACAGCTACAGACTAGGGACCGAATGGCTAGGCAGCAGTTCTGCAGAAAAGGACCTAGGGGTGACAGTGGACGAGAAGCTGGATATGAGTCAGCAGTGTGCCCTTGTTGCCAAGAAGGCCAATGGCATTTTGGGATGTATAAGTAGGGGCATAGCGAGCAGATCGAGGGATGTGATCGTTCCCCTCTATTCGACATTGGTGAGGCCTCATCTGGAGTACTGTGTCCAGTTTTGGGCCCCACACTACAAGAAGGATGTGGATAAATTGGAGAGAGTCCAGCGAAGGGCAACAAAAATGATTAGGGGTCTGGAACACATGAGTTATGAGGAGAGGCTGAGGGAGCTGGGATTGTTTAGCCTGCAGAAGAGAAGAATGAGGGGGGATTTGATAGCTGCTTTCAACTACCTGAAAGGGGGTTCCAAAGAGGATGGCTCTAGACTGTTCTCAATGGTAGCAGATGACAGAACGAGGAGTAATGGTCTCAAGTTGCAGTGGGGGAGGTTTAGATTGGATATTAGGAAAAACTTTTTCACTAAGAGGGTGGTGAAACACTGGAATGCGTTACCTAGGGAGGTGGTAGAATCTCCTTCCTTAGAGGTTTTTAAGGTCAGGCTTGACAAAGCCCTGGCTGGGATGATTTAACTGGGAATTGGTCCTGCTTCGAGCAGGGGGTTGGACTAGATGACCTTCTGGGGTCCCTTCCAACCCTTATATTCTATGATTCTATGATTCTATGCATATAAGTATGCATCTGAGTGCTTCAATTTATTTCAGTGGCACTACATGTGAGTAGGGTTACACACCTGCCTAAGTGCATAACCCGTTCTGATAGCGTGGCTATCTGTCCACTTCCAGAGTCTGGAGCACAGCATAGTCGTCAGGTCTGCTACTGTCTCTGATGTAATGCCGCTGCTTCTTTCGCTCCAGCAGTAAGAGAGTCATGCCTTTAGCTCCAGCAGTCCCAGATCCAGTCCCCACAGATGGCCTCAGCAGGGTCTCATTGCAAGTGTTTGCAGGATCAGGGCCTTGGGTGTCCAAGCCATTCACGTTTGCTTGATTAATTCACATGCCAGGGGCACAGAGGGAAGCTCTTTGCATAAACAATCAGCTTCAGCCACTCTGCCTGGCTCTTGGATGCCCATATCATTCCATGCAAATATGCACACGCTCTGCCCCACCCTTCCTCCAGGAACCAGCTTTCTTGTTTAGTAACAATTCTCATTTCCTTCCATGAGTGCAAGGTGCTTTTTTGAGAATGTGTCATCACCACTTCAGAGCTGTCAGTCATGTGGAAGAGACGAGGCATATGACTGGTGTGTGGGTGACGGATGAATAGAACTTCAGACCATCTATGGGAAAAACTGGAGACAGCCTGATACAGTCAAAACACTTATAAATATCCAATATCCATGACTCTTCAGGGATCTTCGCCTTTCCTTGGGACGATAACAAGCCTCATTAGACCCTCTCCAGTAACCTAGATATTGTCCATTGGGGGAGACAGAGGTGAGACTGCCATTGTACTGGGAGACAACTCATTGCTTTTGCATCACATCACTTCATTTCTCTCAGGTAAGTGGAGAAGGAAAGCATTCACTGGGATTTGATGTGACTGTGGGCTACTTGAGAAGGATGATTTAGGGACCGAATGCATCTGCTCTGAGTGATGATGATGATTTATTTGTATTACCGTAGGACCTAGGTCTAACATCAATGGAAGGTTAGAGGGATTAGAGAGTTTCTCTGGGGTTCCCAATCTGGGACTGATTCAACCTCTGTTGCCAAGCCTTGGGCATCTGTGCTTGTTGATTTGTGATTGTTGGTGTAAAATCTTTCTCCCTTCTGGATTTCATCTCCTCTAGTGACCCAGCAGTAGCCTGTTGTGTATGAAATCAGCTGACACAGAACCTGTTTGCAGCTTGAGGGGAAAGGTCAATCAAAGCAGTTAAACATCTTCTGGGAAAGAGATTGATACCATTTCCAAAGCATCCCGAGGGATGTCACTTGGTACAAGAAACAGGGAGGTTCTGGTGGTCATTGTCTTCCATCATGTGCAACTGCCAGTGTGGAATCAGCTTGTGGACTCAGTCCAATTCCTAGCAGGTGGTGCCCACATCACACCTGGCCCTGAAGAGCAGCTTCTTTGGAAGGCTAAGCAATGTACTGTGGTAGTGCCTAGAGAGTCCAACAGAGATCTGGACCCCATTGTGCTAGGTGCTGTACAAACACACAGTGCCTGCCCCAAAGAGCTTATAATCGAAATAGACAAGGCAACAGATGGTAGGGGAAACAGAGGCACACAAGGGGGGGGAGGGATAGCTCAGTGGTTTCAGCTTTGGCCTGCTAAACCCAGGGTTGTGAGTTCAATCCTTGAGGGGGCCATTTAGGGATCTGGGGCAAAAATTGGGGATTGGTCCTGCTTTGAGCAGGGGGGTTGGACTAGATGACCTCCTGAGGTCCCTTCCAACCCTGATATTCTATGATTCTAAGGGGACATGAATCCCTGAAGAGGGTACAGCAGCTCAGTGTCAGAGGCAAGAATCACACTGGACTTCCCAACTGTCAGTCTAGCACCCTCTCCAAGTCCATCAGTGTCAGTGAATTTACATTAGCAAAGGGTTGAGAGCAGAGTATCCCAAGCAATAGTGCACACATCTTGTAATGTTGTTACTCTAGGGTTATATGGTTACTCTAGGGTCTTCCTGGCACCTGATTAGCTTGTCACTAGTCAGTTGCACTGGTTGGCTGGCTTCTGCACTGCAGTGGTTTCAGATATCAAGCTTCCTTAGAACGTGAAATAGCTGGGCTAAGAGAATTCTCAGTGAGTGGCAGCTTGATGGGTTCCATGTCCGCTTCCTTCTGGTTCAGCTCTGGCAGGATGAATTGTTCTACCTACTTCAGCTCTTGCAAAATTGATGTGTTCTGCCCCTGATGCCAAGGTTTTTCAGGACATCAGAGGTCTACAAGGGGTTGTTGCGTAATTATTTTGACTTTCACTTCTGAAATTTCACTTCAACAGTTCCAGTCAGTCTATTTTTTTGAAGCAAAATATTTTTAAAATGATTGCCTTACTGTGATTGCACAATAAATGCCATAGAATCCAGATGCATCAAATAAATGAGTTAAATAGTAACTGCACTGTTCAGGCATGATACTATAAAAAACACTGGAAATCTGTTTAACCCAAATGGGCATATGCTCATGTGAGTTAACTGAATGGCCCGGCAAGACTGAATTTCATTTGCTGCTGCTGTTGTCTGCAAAACTACTAGCCATAGTTAAAAATCAAGAAAAGGAGTACTTGTGGCACCTTAGAGACTAACCAATTTATTTGAGCATGAGCTTTCGTGAGCCACAGCTCACTTCCTCTGAAACCAGTTAAAAATCACTGCATGTTGTAAGTATGTTGCCACTTTATTTGCACCAGTAAATGCCTAGAAGTTAACTTTATCTGACTACAATACCGCCCAAAATGGAGTTTTGCACTGACCCTTTATAATTTGAAGTTCCTTGTTATACAAAGTAAAGTGAATCTAGATTGATATTACCCAATTTCAAAAGAACACTACGCTACTCTTACTAAATGGTGCCAAACTGTTTACTAATCAAGCCATTCACAAAGGAGATGCTGAATGATCGGGAAAAGGTTATTTGAGAAACTGATCTATCCTCACAACTATTGCCGATAGACAGGAACTCTAATTTTCTTCTGATGTAGGGCCAAGTTTTGGTCTTGGTTTTATCAATTTAAACACGGACGGTGCATGAAATGCCAGCTGGGGTTGGCTAGCCCCCAACCCTGCCCCTTCCACCTGAGGCCCTGCCCTTTCCGCGCCTTCCCCACATCAGAGCCCAACCCACCATAGCCACCAGCCCCCCATCCCTCCCGGCTAGCGCCCCCAGGCCCAGAGTGCAGGGCGGATGGGCAGTGCAGCCCCAGAGCACCGAGAGGCCGGGCGGTGCAGCCCCACACCGAACCAGGGCCACTGCACAGGGATGGAGCCATGCAGAGTGGGAAGCAGGAGAAGAGGGGCCTGAAGGCAGAGCATGGGCAGGGCCATGCCTGGCTGTTTGGGGAGGCACAGCTTCCGCCAGCCTATGATTCCCCCACCCATGAGTTTAAACAGGGGTAACTCTATTGAAATGAATAATTATTCCAAATGTATTCTGGTGTAACTGAGTGGAATTTGGCCTGAGGACTTTAGGAAGATGTGGCTAGGAGAGGAATTTGTGTAAAATGTTGTATCTGAAACATAAACACTAAATATCCTGTGCACGGGATAGAAAGAGATTTAAACTGGAAACCCCACCACTTTGCCAAAATCTCCAGTTTAAACTGTATATGCTGGTGTGAAAAGTTGTCCCTTAGACTAAATCTGGTCAGTGAGCTTCAAAACTCACAGTAAAGTCACTGAATCATGTTCTAATCTGCCACACCAATGTAAATCCATGGTAACTCAGTTGACTTCAGTAGCATTACTGGATTCATACTAGTGTAAATGAGATTAAAATAGTCCGAATGTTATCAAATGATGTTCACTGCTACTTTGTAAATAAATTCCAAGTAAAATTTTGAAGAGACAAGGCAAAGTGTTATTAAGTGGAGCTGGTCAAAGTATTCAGAGCAAACAGCTTGGTTAGATTTTCCCCTTCTCTTTTCATATTGACCATGAACAGATCATGACTTTTTTCTTATTTGAAACTGTTTTTGTACAAACACCTATGGGTTGCTATAACCAGTTTCATAACAAGTTCCTTTGAGTATTCAATCAGAATTCACTGTTTGAGCTGTGTGGGTTGTTCGCAAAGTTGCATAGTTTAGTTTCTGGTCTTTGCCAGGAGACCCTAATTATAAGCAAGGGCAGGGGAGTGGGGCAAGTGTAAAGAGATTGATAAATTGGTAGAAACTGCTCTGGAGAAGATCTGTTGGTTGGACCAACATAGGGATAATAAAGCCCTCTAGGATTTATTATATCATAGACTTTAAGACCAGAAGGGACCATCATGATCATCTAGTCTGACCTCCTGCACATCGCAGGCCAAGAACCTCACCCACCCACTCCTGTAATGGACCCCTAACCTCTAGCTGAGTTGCTGAAGACCTCACATAATCGTTTAAAGACTTCCACTTACAGAGAATTCACCATTTGCACTAGTTTAAACCTGCAAGTGACCTGTCCCCCATGCTGCAGAGGAAGGCAAAAAAACCCCAGGGTAGTGACTACGGCCCCCAACCGAGATTAGAGCCCCAGCATGCGAGGCACTTTACAAACACATGGTACGAGACAGTCCCTACCCTGGAGATTTTAATATAAACAGAGTTCCTTTTCTGGCCCTGTCTTATCTGTTGTTCTCAAACTGTAAGACATTTGGGGAGACAAACAAAATTTTGACCACAAGACTGTGGAGATAACATTTTAAGTTCCTATTTAAGGCGTTTCTCACTCCAGCAAAGCTTGTTGATTTTATTAGAGATACTTACCTTTCTCTGCCTGGGATGTGAGTTTCAAGAGGGGATTATTTAAATATGTTCTTGCTTTGTCATAAACTATGTGGGGTTTTTGTCAAGAAACAGTCTCTCTGATCTGGGACATTACTAAAGTTGCAATCCCATTGCAATATATTGACTATAGAAGATCTGTGCAATAGCCACTGATAGATACAAAGATTTGTTCAGCTGTCTTTATGGATGGCAAAATGTACCACTTAATTGGTTTGGAAATCCAAGAATCTACCCAGGAGCCAACTTTGGTGCAGATCAATATCTTTCAGTCTTAGCCCCCACTTGAAAGAAAGCCTCCAACTATTTCCAGTGCTGACCAGTAGAATCTGGCCTTGCCGGGCTCCTTTCTTAGCTTGCTGTAACAGCAGAAGCTGCTTAAACCCAGAGACTAGAACAGGGACTGAGATCCTGGTGATCTAGGTATTATTCCCAAATTTGAATGGCCTTTGGCAATCACTGCACCTTTCTGTGCCTCTATTTCCTTCTCTGTGAAATGGAATGATGATGGTGCTCACCTCCTTTGTGAAGTGCACTGAGCACTCTGGCTGCAAAGTGCGAGGGAAGAGCTAGGTGTTGATTAGTAGCAATCTGGTAGTGTTGACTAATTGCTGTTCTTGGGCAGATGTTTGCTTTTCTTCATATCCTTTAAAAAGCTGTCTAAATGAGACATCTCAGTATTGCACCAGAAGGTCACCCCTCTCATCCTAGGGCTGGGATTTTTAGATTAGTTATGGATTACATCTCTTTATCCATGGTATCTTTGTGTCATGAGAGATGAAGAGGTTTTGCTTTATTGACCAAATATTTTATCTACTATATTTGGTATGCCAGGTCATAGCTGATAGATAGATTTCAGGAAAGGGCACAATCAAACAGCTAAAATCTCTTGGCAGTTAATTTTTATCATGATGTGCAGAAAAAGGGCTATTCCTATCCTTGTCAGAGAATTTTTTCAGATGGAAGCTATACACTAGGCTCCAGATTTTTCAAGTGCTCAGAACTCAGGGGCACCAGAACTGGGGGACCAGGGGGCCATGGCCCCATGACTTTTTAAAGTACGAGGGCTATGCCCTCCCACTTTGTACTGGCCAGGAGGGAGGGAGCGGAGAGGAGGAAGCAGGGGGCGGGGTCTTGGGGGAAGAGGCGGTGCAGGGGTGGGGCTTTGAGGGAAGAGGTGGCAGGGGGCAGGGCCCTGGAGGAAGAGGCAGTGCGAGGGCAGGGCCTTGGGGGAAGGGACAGCGCAAGGGTGGGGCCTCATTTCAGGCACCAGTGCCCCCCCACACACTTTTAGGGAGCTTCCATTGCCCCTGTCAGAACTCACCATTGGATTGGATTTTGAGAGCTCACCAAAATAAAGAGGCCAGGTTTTCGAAAGCATCCAACATCTCCCTTGTTCTCTTTTGTGCTAGCCAGCAGCATGGAGAGTGGAAACAAAGCGGAAATACGTTGGGTATATACAGCTCTTTCTTGTCAATCCTTTACCATGGTTATGGCAATGCTCTTACCTGGGTACATGCAGCTAGAGCGAAAACATCCAGCCCTAGTGAGAAGGCAGACATGACCTTAACAGCAAGCAAAGAGGCAAGTGCCCATAGCTTAAGTACCTAAGTAAGTCTCAGAAATGGCATTTAGATGTCATACCAACCCAGCAGGGGAGTCCTATCCTCAGCGAAGCTCTGAAGAAGTCAGTGGTGAATCATAGAATATCAGGGTTGGAAGGGACCTCAGGAGGTCATCTAGTCCAACCCCCTGCTCAAAGCAGGACCAATCCCCAACTAAATCATCCCAGCCAGGGCTTTGTCAAGCCTGACCTTGAAAACCTCTAAGGATGGAGATTCCACCACCTCCCTAGATAACCCATTCCAGTGCTTTACCACCCTCCTAGTGAAAAAGTTTTTCCTAACATCCAACCTAAATCTTCCCCACTGCAACTTGAGACCATTACTCCTTGTTCTGTCATCTGGTACCACTGAGAACAGTCTGGATCCATCCTCTTTGGAACCCCCTTTCAGGTAGTTGAAAGCAGCTATCAAATCCCCCCCTCATTCTTCTCTTCTGCAGACTAAACAATCCCAGTTCACTCAGCCTCTCCTCATAAGTCCTGTGCTCCAGCCCCCTAATAATTTTTGTTGCCCTCTGCTGGACTCTTTCCAATTTTTCCACATCCTTCTTGTAGTGTGGAGCCCAAAACTGGACACAGTACCCCAGATGAGGCCTCACCAATGTCGAATAGAGGGGAATGATCTGCTGGCAATGCCCCTACTTATACAACCCAAAATGCCGTTAGCCTATGGTGCTACTTTTCCTTCTACCAGCTGAGGATCTGGCCCAGAGACTGTGAAATCCAATCATTCTTTTTTCCCCTCCCCTCTGTGCAGGGCTCACTGGCTTGCCGACAATGTGCGTAGGGAAGTGCACTCGGATTCTGGGCCCATGCCTCATTGCCTTGGGTGTGCTTTCCATTGCTGCCAACGTGCTCCTCCTCTTTCCCAGCTGGATGTGGAGCTATCTGAAGGAGGGCCACATCACCAAACAGGCTATGCAAGTGCCAGGAGTCTGGGGAGGAGGCATAATTGTAAGTGGTGTGACTTCTTTGCCCTCCTTTCCCTTTTCCCCAGCATGTGTGCACTGTCTTGGACAGAACATTCACCAAGGGAGTCACAGGACCAAGGCACAATGTGTCCAGTGGGTAGGGCATGATACCACTGGCCTTCTGGGTGACTTTGGGCAAGCTCATTCCCCACTCTGTGCCTCAGTTTCCCCATCTGAGAAGTGGGGATGTTGGTAAGCTGGGGCACAGTTGGGCTCCATGCTACAACCCCTGGCTGACATTCTATGGGCTGTGTTAGACAGCAGGGCAGACTGGATGATCAGGGTGACCCCTTACAGCCTTATGAAAGGCTTCTGGATGTCATTATGTCCCCTTTTTCCTCAGGGGAGGGATAGCTCAGTGGTTTGAGCATTTGCCTGCTAAACCCATGGTTGTGAGTTCAATCCTTGAGGGGGCCATTTGGGATCTGGGGCAAAAATTGGGGATTGGTCCTGCTTTGAGCAGGAGGTTGGACTAGATGACCTCCTGAGGTCCCTTCCAACCCTGATATTCTATGATTCTATAGGGCTTTGTATGCTGGTGGCTGACACTAACATACTTCTCATACCTATATACTGTATAGGCCCTGACCTGAAGTCAGCTGAAAGACTCACATCAGCTTTAACAGGCTTTGGATCAAGTCCTAAGGGTAACAGAAAAGAAAATCCAGATAGAAAATCACATATTTACAAACTTCTTGGAACAGTTAACAGATTAAACTAATTAGTCCTTTCCTCCATAACGTCCTCAGTTGGTATAATGACCATTAGCAAGAATCACTTCCATGTCGCATGGGCAACACATGAACCGCCAGCTGCGGGAGGCTAGCTCTCAGCCCCGTCCCTTTTGCCCCAGACACCACCCCTTCCGCCCCCTCTGCCAGAGCCCAGAACCCCACCACCACAGCCACCCACCCGGCCACAGCCCCCCTAGCCCTGGAGTGCCAGGAGGGAGGGCAGGCAGTGCCACCGCAGGCCCCCCCCAGCCCTGGAGCGCCAGGAGGGCGGGTGGTGCAGCCCTGGCCCCTGGAGCCGGGCTGCAGAGCAGAAGCAGGGAGCCTGGGGGCAGAGCATGGGTGAGGCCATGCCTGGCTGTTTGGGGAGGCACAGCCTCCCCCAGGCTATGGTACCCGCTGCCCATGCCATGTCGTCATGTTGCCCATCTGCTTGGTGCTAGTAACTTCTGTATTTGCTAATCCAAACTTCTCCATGCTGCTCTCCAGGGAGGCCATTTTGGAGCCTCGCCAGGTTCACGGTGACACATCAGGCCACTGAGTGAAATGATCGTTATCTTCCAAGAAAGCTGCTCCAGTATGGCAACGCTTTGCTCTGCACCTTGGCAGTGCAATCAGGCACCCTGGCAAGGACTGGGATGGAGTGGGGTAGCCAACAATAGTCTAATAGCATATTTGATGAATTCTGGGATGCTTTTAAATTAACTTTTCTTATTGTTTGCCTAGCTCGGCTCCCCGCTGGCTACTGGTATGTTATGCTAGTGTCAGTATAACTAGCAAAGTCTCCTGCACGATTGTTTGCAATGGCTCCTTGGCTGGTTTTAAACAGTAATAATACCATTTTGCTGCTAGAGGAAAATCAGTTCCTGTGGCCTCATTGACGTCTTTGGCAAAATTCCCATAGACTTCAGTGAGTCCAGTATTCTACCCCGTATCGCCGCTTTAAAGGCATGTGTTATGTTCATAACTGAAGCACATAGACAGTAAGTGATTTTGTCTTTGTCAAAGCCCTGGTAATAGAACTCAGGTGTCTGTAGTCCCAGTTCTATTTCACTGGGAATTCATCTTCCGTTTTGCATACCCCGATTTGTTATGGTTTATTTTTATTACTGTAGCTCCTACGAGCCCTAGTTACAGCCCAGGACTTAGTCGCAGGGCTCTGTACAAACACACAATAAAGAGATGGTGGTGGATAACAGATTCTAAATGCTGGTCCTTCTGACATTTCTAACTTTCCATATGCAGCAAAATGTTTTCTCTAAATGAAAAGCACACGCTCATAAGCAGCCACCTAGATGTTGCAGACAGATATTAGATTGACATGGTACAGCCTATTGCCAGGGTTCTAACTTTAGCCTTAATCACACAAGGAGCACAGCACAAGCCAGAACCTCCATGAATGACTTCGGTGGTGCTCTGCATAGGCATGAGGATCCGTCCACAGGTCTTGTTGCAGGATTTGGGATCTTTAAGACTGGGATGAAGGGTAGTTCATAACTGCTCCATGCTGAATAAGGGAAAGAACTAACTGCCAGCTCTTGGTGCCAGCAGACTGGATCGTCCCATTCATCCTGAATCATTTCCTACTCTCTCAGGTTCTTCTGGCTGCAACTCAGATCACGGCTGTTGGGTGGCGCTGTGGCCGTTCCTCCGACTGCAGAACTTGCCGGAATGTAAGACAGAGATTCCTTTGACTTGTGGAAAATGTTCTTATTTTAGCTGCAGAACCAGACTCCAGACCCACAGTTCTGGAGTTAACAGGCCACACCTCTCTGTCACTGGGCCGCCAGATTTAATGGTGCTGTGTTAGCGTAGCCCCAGAAGGGAACGATACGTTTTGCAGACAAGTAGAAAGAAAAATTCCTTAGCTTATGTTCCAAACAGGCCACTGTTTAGATAGGGAGTGAGACAGCCCAACGAGCTGCAATTATGTGGCAAAGAGAGGAAGGGTGATCCAGTGATTAAAGCACTAGCCTGGAACTCGGGAGACCTCGGTTCAGGTGCTTGCTCCACCCTGGACTCCCTGTAGGGTTGCCAGGTGTCCGGTTTTTGACCGGAACACCTGGTTGAAAAGGGACCCTGGCGTCTCTGGTCAACACCACTGACTGGGCTGTTAAAAGTCCCGTCAGCGGAGCAGCAGGGCTAAGGCGGGCTCCCTGCTTGCCATGGCTCCATACGGCTGCCGGAAGCAGCGTCATGTTCCACCTCTGGCTCTTACGCATAGGGGCACCCAGGGGGAGCCGCATGTTGCACCCTCCCCAACTGCCACCTCCGCAGCTCCCACTGGCTGGGAACCACAGCCAATGGGATCTGCGGGGGTGGTGCCTGCGGACGGGGCAGCATGCAGAGCCGCCTGGTCGCACCTTTGCCTAGGAGCTGGAGAGGGGACATGATGCTACTTCCGGGAGCTACTTGCGGTAAATGTCACCCAGATCTTGCACCCCGACCCCCTCCCATTCCCCAACCCCTTACCCCAGCCCTGATTCCCCCTCCCACCCTCTGAACCCCTCGTTCCCAGCCCAGAGCACCCTCCTACACCCCAAACCCCTCATCCCTGGCCCCACACCAGAACCCGCACCACTAGCCAGAGCCCTCCCCCTCACACACTTGAGCCCCCTGCCCCAGCCCAGAGCCCCCTCCCACACCCTGAACCCCTCATTTCTGGCCCACCCTGGAACCTACACCTCCAGCTCAGAGACTGTACCCTCTCCCACACACCAACCCCCTGTCTCAGCCTGGAGCCCCCTCCCATACTGTGAACCCCTCAGCTGCACCCCACAGCCCAGAGCCCCCTCCTGCACCCCAAAATCCTCATCCCTGGCTCAACCCCAGAGCCTGCACGCCCAGCCAGAGTCCTCACCCCCTCCTGCACCCCAACCCCCTGAGCCAGCCCAGTGAAAATGAGTGAGTGAGTGAGGGTGGGGAGAGTGAGTGACAGAGGGAATGGGGATGGAGTGAGCGGGGGGCAAGGCCTCAGAGAAGGGGTGGGGCAGAGGCAGGGCATTGGAGGAGGGGTGGGGCAGGGCAAGAGTGTTTGGTTTTGTGCGAGTAGAAAGTTGGCAAGCCTAACTCTCTGTTAGGCCCATCAAGGGAAATTTGGGGCCCCGTACACCATGTTTGCTGGGGCGTCACCCCCTCCCATTTCCAATCAGGTACAGGCATTTTTGGGGGTCCCCTTTGCCCTGCTCTTGTCAGCCCTGCTCCTTGTATGAGCTTGGGTAAGTCGCTAAATCTCTCTGGGCCTCATTTCCTCCTCTGTGAACTGGGGATCACCCCTGCCTCACAGGGGCTAAAAACATTACAGCTTGTTGGGGGGCTCAGCTACTCCAGTAATGGGGGCCAGATTTACCACATCTGGTTGGTCCCATGGTTTTTTTAGCCCTCCCCTCGTGCACTGGGGTGTGAATTGCACAGCACCAGAGACTTGCAGTCAGCGTATTTGTGTGGGGTAGGGACCACATGCCACCAACCCAGCGATTCACGTTCTGCCTCTATATTTTACTGACAGCCCCGAGAGTAGGAGGGTTTTGATGAGAGTGATGATGAGCTGCTCGGTAAGCTAAGCCCCCATTTTGCAAATCCTCTTTATCCGCATCTCCGCACCTACCCGCAGGTTTAGGGTGCTGGGTCTCTAATGGTAAAAAGGATACAGCCCTTTCTTCAATGCAGATCTGAATGATATTGTCACAAGAGCTTGTGTGATAACAGGATCCTAGTTATCACTCACTGCTCTGTCCCCACCGGCTGTTCTGTTAGGCAGGACAAAAAAAAATAAAAATAAAAAATCCCATGCTGGAGCTTGCGGTTTGCCTCTAGCCTGCAGAAGCAAGGAACCTGCCTTTCTTGGCATTGCAATCCTGATGGGAGTTTCTGATCCTTAGGCCTTTTAAAGGGACATACCTGACAATGGCAGGGAAATAGCCAGTGTACCTGCCCTAATGGAGCTGGAAGGGTAATCTCCCCTAGCCCTTTCCCAGGGTATCTCATGCAAATGCAGCTTTCCGGAAGAGTATAAAGCAGCATATGCTCCCATCACAGTAATCTTGTACACTAAGGCCACGCTTTCAAAAGGAGCCACTGACTTTGGGCACCACCTGGGCCTGATGTTCAGCAGTGCTGAGGGCCTGCAGCTCTCATGGCCTCCAGCTGGAGTCACGCATGCTCAGCACTTCTGCAAATCAGGTCCACTTTTGCAAATGGCCTCAATGCCTCACGGCTGAGTGTGGATGAGCAAGTTGAAGTGGAGGAGGAGAACCACAACAGCAGCCTTGCCTCCTGCCAGCACTTTTTGTTGGATCATGCCATGGGACTGACTTGATTACTTTCTGAGTGACTTCCTGTGCACATATGCCCAATAACGTGTTGGGAGGGGGTTAAGTGCACAGGGTCTTCTGCCTTGTGTATTCTCTTCCAGCACGCAGCAAGCGGCCGATCTGATCTGTCCATGTTTTGAAGTCACGGCACGTAGCTGTAACCGGTGGCGCAAGTTGCAGGGCAGGGGGGGATCAGGACTCATGTTGCAGTTGTAAAGAAGCTCTGGCTAGGAGCCGAGACAGTTCTCATCTGCAGTGACTCCTTTGGTTAAAGTCATACAGGAGCTGCAAGGGTTTCCCAGCTTCTTCCGGCAGTTGTAATTGCAGCATCTGAGGCCATTAGAGTTCATTTCACGCCCTTGGCAGTTTCTTGTTGCTCCAGTCTCTGCTAAGGGTAGGCCCAGCCATGCGGGACTCCTGACATTTGAGGAGAGAAGCATGATCACCTGGAATTACAAGTTTGTTTCTGTGTCTTTTACCCACAGATGTTCCTTTCCATTGTATTGTCGGGGCTGGCGTTGCTGGGATCTACTGCTTGCTTTATCCTTTCGGGTGTGGGCTTGACAAACGGACCCCTCTGTCTATACAACCAGACTGAAGTCCCGCAGTGGGATTACCCTTTCATAAACATGGAAAACCAGGCCTTCCACACCAGGTAGAAGGAGCTTGTGTGATGTCCAGGCAGCAGTAGGGCTAAAATACTCACAAAGCTTCATCTCTTCCCTTAATCCAACAATCTGAGGAAGAACGTTAAATGATTCAGCATTCAACAGACTCGGCAACATTGAGAACGAAGTTCTCCTCCTGCTGAGGAGCATTAAACCAGCATTACAGCAAGCTGGCTTGCCAGGAAACAGGGAGTGGAGCAGTCCAGGATGAATGGCCACTAAAGATGACCTTAAAATGGGGGACTAGTGGGGGCTTATTTCCTCTTATGGCTTTATAATACATAGACAGGTCTGAAAGGTGATTTTAAGGGTGGGGGTTTTTACCTGCTTGTTTTTTCCATTAGATCAGGTCCAGTCTAGCTGGGATGGCTCTGCAGTGCCTGGAGAAACTGAAATTATTACATTAACAAGAGCCATGTACTCAAGCTGAGCGGATGTCAGTGTAGGGCATCTTTAGCATTCCATGCTTTTGCTATTTAACTTTAATGGCTACTGAATATTTTGGGGGAAGGAAGTATTTGTTGATGTTTTATAATTCAGACCTGATAGCTCACAATACACATATCTGAGACCCCTACGAGGTCCTTCAGAAAAGTCAAGGAAGGTCTGATCAAATTCATGTTATTTTTAAAATTACAAAAGTAGCAGGCTGCCTTTATCCATCACAATGAAGCAAAAAGGGAACACATGCCCCCCTCCACACACACACTTTTTACACAATCAACTGCATGTCATCTCTTCAGATGTCTTTGTCCTATCACTGTCTCATCAGAGTCTCTCTTTAAGGGCTCAGAATTATTTGTATGACCAATCTCTCTGGAATTCAGTCTGCATTGAGCCCCCGAATGTTGTAGCCTGGAATATTTACTTCTTCTCTGTTCTACTGGTCATCAGCGTGGTCGAAATGGTCCTGGCTTCTCTTCAGATCATCAATGGCTTCTTTGGATGCCTCTGTGGCTTATGTGAAGGCAAATAGGTAATTTCAATTCCTAATAACTCTGTCACTGCTTTTCCTCATCTTCCCTGTGTGAATGGTGCCACCAAGAATTTCAGGCAAAAACTCCTGCAGGCTTTCCTGCATGATCTGAGTGCATCATCTTTTTGCTGAGACTTTGCCCAGGTGTGATGCACAATAAGGGTTTGATTCTGCACAGAGTGGGAGTGGAATTATGTATCAATGCAAGGTAAAATGTGGTGGACAGGGCAGAAAGTGGAGGACAGTGTGAGAGAACGGCTGGCTGACCCCAAGTTACCCCTTCTACTGGACTGGAGTAAAGGGTTAGGAGTCTATCTCTAGACCAGCTGTGTGAGAGGCAGCCGTGGGTTGAAGTGTAGTGTTCAAAGCGGATGATGGGTAGCGTAGGGTGACCAGGTGTCCCAATTTTATAGGGTTAGTCCTGATTTTTGGATCTTTCTTATATAGGCTCCTATTACTCCCCGGCCTGATTTTTCACACTTGCTGTCTGGTCACCAAGGATAGCGTCTTGACCGAGATACATCTTGTAGTGCACTATACTACACTGGATCAACTGATATTCTCACTGCAGGCCCACAGTGGTGGTACAGTGTAATGGGGCTCTGGAATGCTCAGATGTAGCCAGTGCTCAGACAGGGCTGAGGCATGCTCCCCTAGCAGCCCTTTATTCCCACACGGTTAGGTCAATCCCAGCATTAGGAACCTAGTAGCAGAAAAAGAAATCTCCCTGAATATTCCTTCTAGGCAGGGTTTATTTCAGCTAGTGACAAATGCTAGTGGAGACAGGCAAGAATGTGATGATGGATTCAGCCAGTAGAATGAATCAGGCCTCGTCTTGATGAGGATTTTAGGTAGGCTTGGAAGGATTCAATTTTTTAATCAGTAAATGTCAATTTCACCATACACACCCCCCGCACATACGCACACACACTGCTGTGCCTGCACACACAGAGCAATAAAAAAACATTCCTATCACTCATAACTGAAATTTACAGACAGGCAAAATAAGAAAAATGCTGCTTGAAAACATATTAGTTTGATTTAAAAATATTTATTTTGTATATTTTGATGTGATAGACAATTTGTTTTAACAGTTTTGAATGTCACCGTTTACTGTCATTAAATAATTATGATTGATAATTTCCCACAACTATGAACATTTAAATAAATAAAAATTGGTGAAAAAATTTAAACTGCCCATAATTTTGCATAACTCTGAAAGTTAAAATAGATACAAATCAGAAAAAAATGCTTTAAAATAAATATTGATCTCATCCATCAAAATTATTTTAAAAAAAATTCCGCCACATTTAATTTTAGCATGTGCTGAACTGATCGAGCTAAAACTGGTGGGGGAACCCTACATTATTATTTGACTTCCTAGAAGTGTTAACTGTGGCTAATTTGAAAAAAAAAAAAAAAAACCCTACTTAATACCAATTGAGTGAAGCTAGCTCTGCAAACCCACCATGTTTCCAAGTCACACCCAGTCCTTACCAGGCAAGAGAGAGAAAGCAGAACAAAAATCCAGTGGTAGTAAAGCCTTGTCTAAACTGAAGATTTTCAAGCAATCAGTCAATCTTCTAATGTTGCCCTGTGGCTGCTCGACTGATGTTAGCGCTGGTGGGAGGGCTAGGATGTACTGGCTGCTGCCATTTCCACTGCTGTGCCATCAGGGGCTGCTCTGAGCACATCTGGGAAGCTGTGGGAAACAGGTAATTTAGAGATGGACTATCCTTGCTTTCCTCCCACTACAGGTGAGGCTAAAGTGCTATCCTCTAAGCTGATCTGCTGTTTGATTTTGTTGCAGGTTCAGTGCACATCAGACTCCTGTGTTGCCTGGATTTTGCTGTGCAGAGTAGAGGTGGCATTTACAAAGGGGTGATCATCCCAGAGCTTTGAGCCTTTACATCAGCTACACCTGTGCAAATATTAAACCGATCGTGGTCTCCTGGGTAGCCATATTACTCATCACTACAAGGACATTTAATACACACTAGAATCACTGCCACCATTTTATACCAGGGTGGCAGCTAGAGCTGGATATCAGACTTATGCTTGTGTGATGGAGCTTCAATGTAGTTTCTGTATGAACACATTGTACTGAATTGATGGGGCCATTATATGAATACCCTTTGATTTCTACAGGCACAAACCCAGGAGGAAGCGGAAATAATCCGTGCTAGCTGTTTACCTTTGTCTGGGAAGGGTGTGATGTCCCTTAGCGCCAGATTCAGGAAATGTACAGACCCTTTGTCAAGGGAAGAACACTGTGCAAGTCTGGAAAGAAGCCAAGACCTAGGGCACTAGACATGACAGATTCTGCACATGCAAGGGATTGCTTTGAAGAACAAATGAATCCTGCGTCATCTGATCTGGGTTTTCCCACCCTGTGGTTTCATCTGTGCTGAGGCAATGCCTCTAACTAGTGGCTTGAAACTGGCCTGTCTGAGGGCTGCTGATTAACAGAGAGACTATGGATGGACTATGTGACCCTTGAGCTTACATTTTTCTTAATGACAAAGAGATGGAAGGGGGCATCACTTGGGACCAATAACCTTTTTGACCTTTATTCATCATAACAAAGCAAAATAGCCATGAGCCCCATTTTTTCCTGTTTGCACAACCCATATGACTGTAGCCTATGTAGCGATATTTATAGTGACATTAGTCCAAAACGTGGTTTATTTTTTATTTTATTTAATTTATTAATCTAATAAATCTGAATTTAGACATACTGAGTTGGAGCCTTCTGGATGCTGCCATTGGGTTTGATCATTATTTGGCATCTCTGAAGAGTGAGAAACCAATTCCTGGACTCTGGGTCAGGACCAGTGTTCTCTCTAATTTTTTCCATCCATGTGTGGAATAAATTGTTAGTGCACTAAGGTAATGTGCGGATGTATGCCACCAAGAGAAAAACAAAACACCTAGATAGAATATATATTTTAAAAAGATATTATAGGGATAATTACTCCAGCCAGGACAGATTAGGCATTTTAGAACTCACTACTCAAAGAATTAAAATTAAGTGTAAGAGAGAAATAATTATGAAATGTGTAGACCAGTTAAACAAAAATACTCTTTGAAAGACTAAAATTACCGAGAATATATGTGCATTGCAGGAAGTACCAAGTAGTAACAACAATAATACAAGTATGTGTTGGGAGTGTGTGAGCTGGCTGCTGGGGAAGTCTGAGAGACCGTGCACTGTCTCTTTAAGGCACTGACTCAGTCACTCACCTGGAAGGCTCGTTCAAACCTCAGACCACAGCAGCTCTCTCCCGCTCAGAGTCCTGAGCCAGGCTGTCCCCTCTCCCCTGCTCTGTGGAGATGGGGTACAGGGGTGAGGGAAGGGGGACACCCTGACATCAGCACCCCCACTCTTCTTCCCCTTCTGCAGGAGGGTCCCAGGAGCAGCAGCAACATGGCTGCAAAGTAGCGGGGGGGAGGGGCACCTAAACACATGCTGCCAGATGTGCACAGCTCTGCTAATCAAGTGCGCAGCCCTTAAATCACTCCTGGGCAGCTGCCCGACCGCACAGCCTAGAGGGTACACCGGTCCGGACTGAGGGATGCTTTCTCCAAAGGCAGAGTGAATTAAGTCATCCCTGCCCCATTCCCATATCTTGTCGGCCTACAAAGGCTAGAATGATGTAGTTTATGACTCGTAAACCCAATGAAGTCAATTGGGTACGCCCATGGACATTTAGTAGCTACTGAAACAGATCCACGCTGAACTGCTGGAGAGAACTGATACAGCCACACTGTTTACATGCTGGATATGTTTTATTGGACACTTTTTGTCAAAAGACTACACAATTTTTAATCATGAGGTAATGCCTATCAAAGAATGATATGACTTTAAAAATCAGGCCCTGTCCTTCAACATTAAGGCAGTCTGGGACCATTCATTTCTCTCATCGTTGAGGCTAAAATTGTGTCATGGTTATTTTTAGCAAAAGTCAGAGACAGCTCATGGCAATAAACAAAAATTCACGGAAACCCATGACCTGTCCCTGACTTTTGCTAAAAATACCCTGGGGAAAGGGGACAAAGAGCACTGCCGGGACTTGCACCTTCTCCAGCCCCTCTGCTGCTCCTGTGACGGGGGCTGACAGCTGCTGCTTCAGCCCCAGGGGAGCTGACCCAAGCCCAGCTGCTGCTCTGGCAGCCCCAGGGCTGACAGCTGCTACAGCCCTGCCCCAGAAGTCGTCACAGAGGTTCTGGAAAGTCACAGAATCTATGACCTCGGTGACAGTCATAGCCCTACTCACTGTGAATTCAGAAGTCTCCTAGACACCACCAGAGGGAGCTAAAACCACAGCACCTGCCAAGCTTTGCTATGGCTGCTTTTCTCCATCCTTAAAAGGCAAAAGAAAACTAATTCTATTGCAACTTTCTTCTCCGAATCGGTTTGTAAAGGAGCTTGCAATACCACACATGGTAGTTTTAGGGGGACAGGGGAGCAGGGAGTTAAAGGGTTAGGGGGATTGTCTGGACCAGGAGTGGTGTCTTCACCTCTAGCCAGAATGTGATGGAGAGTCCAGGGGCAGGCTGCCCACATATGTAGATTTCAGAGTAAGAGCCGTGTTAGTCTGTATTCGCAAAAAGAAAAGGAGTACTTGTGGCACCTTAGAGACTAACCAATTTAGTTGAGCATAAGCTTTCGTGAGCTGCAGGGATGTGGTGGGCCACAGACACTTGCTCAGGCAGTGGCCACGAGCTCTCAGGCTTTAGGTGGCAGGACCCTTCTTCCCAGTGTCGCCCCTGCCCCGTCGGGGTTATGATCCCCCTCCAAGTCTGGCCTGCCAGGTGTCTTGGCTGGGGGCGTTTACCTGCGCTGGGCCCGCTACCCAGGGTCCCCCCTCACTCTCCCCAGCTGCTCACCACACCCAGCTCTGGACTGCTCCCGCCTCAGCTCCAGCTCCACCATCCGATGAAGTGAGCTGTAGCTCACGAAAGCTTATGCTCAAATAAATTGGTTAGTCTCTAAGGTGCCACAAGTACTCCTTTTCTTTTCACATATGTAGAGTTTTCTAACTCACACGCCTGTTTGCTAGTGTAAGGGGACCATTGTCCCTTTACTGACATTCAGTGGGGGTGTTTTGTTCAGCTAGCTCCAGTACTAAAAGTAAGGGGTAGGGTCAATGAGAAATCAGGATCCTGAGACTGAGTCCCCAGGAACAATGAGGAGAGACCAATGCTCCAGATCAGCCTGATTGACAGGGCAGGCAGGCTATTCAGGGAGTCAGGAGGGTCCCGTCCTCCGTGTGAGCTGGAATTGCCTGGGTCAGACAGAGTGGGGCCAAGGGAAGGGGAAAGCAGGGGCCTAAGCTAAGCTAGGAAGCAGAGCTGTGCCAGCCAGAAAAGCAGCCCAGGAATCAGGTCTGAGCTGGGAGCAGAGTCACAGAAGCAGCCTGCAGAGCAGACCTGTCCTGGGAGCAGAGCTGCAGCAACCAGAGCCAGGGGGCCAGAGAATCAGCCCAAGGAGCTAGAGGCAGAGCAGCAACAGCTGTGCTGAGGCAGAGTGGTGGAGCTGGAGCTGAGGCGGGAGCAGTCCAGAGCTGGGTGTGGTGAGCAGCTTGGGAGAGTGAGGGGGGACCCTGGGTACTGGGCCCAGCGCAGGTAAATGCCCCCAGCCAAGACACCTGGCAGGCCAGACTTGGAGGGGGATCATAACTCCGACGGGGCAGGGGCGACACTGGGAAGAAGGGTCCTGCCACCTAAAGCCTGAGAGCTCGTGGCCACTGCCAGAGCAAGTGTCTGGCCCACCACATCCCTGCAGCACAGCCAGGGTCTGAGAAGGGGCCTAGGACTTGTGAGGAACAGACTTAAGTTCCTTCCCTTATATTCCAGAGACACTGGTTGTGATGCCCCTGTGCCACAGAGCAGGGGGACATGTTTTCCTTTAACCTTTTCCCATTTTTTCCTTATTTTTTTAAAAATTGATTGCTGTTTAATAAATTGTATTTGCTTTGATCAGTGGGTCAGGGAAGCATGCAGTGCAGAGAGAGCACCCAGGAGTGGGGACACCCTAGCCTCTGCCTTAAGTGACCCTGTCAAGGTTCCTCCCCCACTCTGAACTCTAGGGTACAGATGTGGGGACCTGCATGAAAAACCTCCTAAGCTTATCTTTACCAGCTTAGGTCAAAACTTCCCCAAGGTACAAAATATTACACCCGTTATCCTTGGACTGGCCGCTACCACCACCAAACTAATACTGGTTACTGGGGAAGAGCTGTTTGGACGCGTCTTTCCCCCCAAAATACTTCCCAAAACCTTGCACCCCACTTCCTGGACAAGGTTTGGTAAAAAGCCTCACCAATTTGCCTAGGTGACTACAGACCCAGACCCTTGGATCTTAAGAACAATGAACAATCCTCCCAACATTTGCACCCCCCTTTTCCTGGGAAATGTTGGATAAAAAGCCTCACCAATTTGCATAGGTGACCACAGACCCAAACCCTTGGATCTGAGAACAATGAAAAAGCATTCAGTTTTTTACAAGAAGACTTTTAATAAAAAATAGAAGTAAATAGAAATAAAGAAATCCCCCCTGTAAAATCAGGATGGTAGATATCTTACAGGGTAATTAGATTCAAAAACATAGAGAACCCCTCTAGGCAAAACCTTAAGTTACAAAAAAGATACAGACAGAAATAGTTATTCTATTCAGCACAATTCTTTTCTCAGCCATTTAAAGAAATCATAATCTAACACATACCTAGCTAGATTACTTACTAAAAGTTCTAAGACTCCATTCCTGGTCTATCCCTGGCAGAAACCAGCATACCGACAGACACAGACCCTTTGTTTCTCTCCCTCCTCCCAGCTTTTGAAAGTATCTTGTCTCCTCATTGGTCATTTTGGTCAGGTGCCAGCAAGGTTACCTTTAGCTTCTTAACCCTTTACAGGTGAGAGGATCTTTCCCCTGGCCAGGAGGGATTTCAAAGGGGTTTACCCTTCCCTTTATATTTATGACAGACCCCAACAAGGCTGGGGGTCAAGCCCCCAGGAATCCTGGGCCCAGTCTTGTTGGGGTTACGAGGACTCTACATATTGTTGTGGGGAGGGATAGCTCAGTGGTTTGAGTATTGGCTTGCTAAACCCAGGGTTGAGTGTTCAATCCTTGAAGGGGCCACTTAGGGATCTGGGGCAAAAATTGGGGATGTGTCCTGCTTTGAGCAGGGGGTTGGACTACATGACCTGAGGCCCCTTCCAATCCTGATAGTCTATGATTCTAGGACTCTGCCAAACAGGAGAGTGGAAGGGGAGCCCCCAAGGTCAGGCAGGCCTCTGGGTAAAGGGAGTGGGAGCAAGGACTCAGATCCTTTCACTAGTCCACTTCACCAGGATAGTGTATAAGCCAAGAAAGTTCCTCACAATAGCAGGACTAACATGAAGGGGAAAGGAGTCCAGGAGAGCTGGCTGTATTTCAAGGAATCCCTGTTGAGGTTACAGGGACAAACCATCCCAATGTGTCGAAAGAATAGTAAATATGGCAGGCGACCAGCTTGGCTAAACGGTGAAATCCTAGCAGATCTTAAACATAAAAAAGAAGCTTACAAGAAGTGGAAGGTTGGACATATGACCAGGGAAGAGTATAAAAATATTGCTTGGGCATGTAGGAATGAAATTAGGAGGGCCAAATCGCACCTGGAGCTGCAGCTAGCGAGAGATGTTAAGAGTAACAAGAAGGGTTTCTTCAGGTATATTGGCAACAAGAAGAAAGCCAAGGAAAGCGTGGGCCCCTTAATGAATGAGGGAGGCAACCTAGTGACAGAGGATGTGGAAAAAGCTAATGTACTCAATGCTTTTTTTGCCTCTGTTTTCACTAACAAGGTCAGCTCCCAGACTGCTGCGCTGGGCATCACAGCATGGGGAGTAGATGGCCAGCCCTCTGTGGAGAAAGAGGTGGTTAGGGACTATTTAGAAAAGCTGGACGTGCACAAGTCCATGGGGCCGGACGAGTTGCATCCGAGAGTGCTAAAGGAATTGGCGGCTGTGATTGCAGAGCCATTGGCCATTATCTTTGAAAACTCGTGGCGAACGGGGGAAGTCCCGGATGACTGGAAAAAGGCTAATGTAGTGCCAATCTTTAAAAAAGGGAAGGAGGAGGATCCTGGGAACTACAGGCCAGTCAGCCTCACTTCAGTCCCCAGAAAAATCATGGAGCAGGTCCTCAAAGAATCAATCCTGAAGCACTTACATGAGAGGAAAGTGATCAGGAACAGTCAGCATGGATTCACCAAGGGAAGGTCATGCCTGACTAATCTAATCGCCTTCTATGATGAGATTACTGGTTCTGTGGATGAAGGGAAAGCAGTGGATGTATTGTATCTTGACTTTAGCAAAG